CCGCCCATTGTGCACAGAGGCTATTGGCATCCATTTCGGCGTCTCGCGCTCGTCATCCACTCAAAACGTAACGTTAACCAACTATTTGGCCGGCTCGCAAGCCCAAACAAGTGTGTGCGGCGTGCCTGATATTTTGTTTCCGGTCTAGCTAGATCCACTTGCGCTTTGGTCGACGAAGCAACAAAACGTCCGGTTTCATAGCGGAGCGCCGCGCATGCTGCGTCCTGTTTCAAAAGCATGTGAAAATAACTACAAAGTTTGCTAGGCCAAAAAGACCTTTAATCGCACGATAAAAAAATCTGCATTCGTCTGCCGACAGAGCTCCAGAGGAGCACAAGGAAAGTTAGAAGACCACTGTCCACACCGCTCTGTTGCCATGTTTGTTGTGCTCTCTCCGCAAAGCTGGACCTTACGAATGGCAGGCCGGAAGGTCCAAAAATATGACTTGAAATAAAAGATAAAAACTCGGACGAGGTCAAGGACGATGCAAAATATGGCAAAAGATACCGTGACCTGTATCTGGATGGCTCTTAAATGTGCCTTTGGGAATAATTTAATGCTTCATCAATTAAATGTCCACATCTGCAACGTTATCTGGAATACAGCATACGGTTCCTATCATAGCACAGATTCCTCCTTTGGCTGCTGTCAGTTGGTCCACGGCCATTTTGTTCAGTAAGTCTAATTCTTTAGTTCTTCCTTAACCCTTAAGTCTGGTTCAGATTACACGATTTTAGCCCGATTTTGGCACGATCCGTTTGACGTAGTGGCGATTCGTAAACGACAACGGGCGTCGGGACGCAAGATTCGACCGTTTCATCTCGTATAGTGAGTCATAGTGGACGACAACCGACACCGCACCTGCGATGCTTCACAACATCAATATAAAAAGACTAGCATGTTTAATTTTTTCCCGGTCCTCCACGACGGGTTCCGTCACATGTGTAACCTTGACCAATAGGAGCACAGAAGCTTTTCCGTACACAGCTTTCAAAAATGGCAAAAGGAAAGAGAGACGATGGTGCTGCTAGGTGGAGTTATGAAATGGAGGAAAGGTTCGTGGAGCTGTGGCAACAGTGCTCCTGCCTGTATGATGTTTCATCGAGCGAGTACCATGACAGAATAAAAAAAGAAAAATAATGGCGAACGATTACGGAATCACTTCAGCAACCAGGTGAGTACTGGAATTAGCATTAAGCTAGCTAATCATTCATTAAATTTTCCTTCGATATAGAGAAATTTTTTTATGTGAGTGTGATTATGTGTGTGCGTTAGAGATGCGCGGTTGGGGGTTATAGCCGCGGACTATCGGGCGGATGACGTGACGAAAAAAAATATTTTAATTAAATTCGGGCGGGCGGTTTCTAGTCTCGCGGCTGTCATCAGCAGCGCCTTGTATCAGCGGATGATGAGTTTTGTGATGCGGTTGCGGATGAAATAATAGCCCATCCGCGCATCTCTAGTGTGCGTGAGCGAGGGAATGTGTGAGTGAGTGGGTGAGCGAGAGTGAGTGTGTGAGTGAGTTTGAGAATGTGTGTTTGTGTGTGTGACTCAAAAATGTTATTCTGTCATTAATTACTTACCCTCATGTCCCTCAGCCCTTTGTTCATCTTCAAACACAAGTTAAGATATTCAAAAATATCTTAATTTGTGTTCCAAAGATGAATGAAGGGCTTGTAGGTTTGGAATATGTTACATGATGGGCTAATGTAGAAAAAATAACTTGCGGTCATTTTGGGATGAATATATTCTGGAAATCCTGCTTTTTTTGTTATTAATGGAAATCATCTTGTCTCAGTTACAAATTTGACTGGTAAATCATAAAGAATTCTTTTTCCACCCTTTAGAATTTATTGCATTCCATATTGTATGTTCAGGGGTGACAGATTGATAAGCAGACGTGGTATTTATGACTGGATGTAACTTTTTATACTTTGCAGTAAAAATGTCTCTCCTACTGATTTTGTCATATCAGAAATATCTCATGAAAAAAATAGTGAAGACCACTGTTCTAAACAGTCTTTATAACAAAATACAAAAAAACATGACACTTGAAGAAAAAAAAAAAAAAAAAAATATGTATACAATTTTATTATATATAATAAAGTTTCGTTTCAAATGGATGAGGAAAAAATAGCAAATTCACGATTCTATGGTCAGAAGCTGGCTACTTGACAAATGAAAATCACAAACATGGCACTTGTTCATAAAATTATTTTATAAATACAATTTATTAATATGTAGGCCTAATATAATTTTATCTCAAACAAATTAGGAAAATAAAGTGGGCTGAATCCAAAAAGCTCTAAACGAATTTTAGAATTAAGACGGTAATTCTATAGACCATTTAAAACAGTTAAATATCTGACTCTGGAAAAAAAAAAACTGGATATTTTTTTTTCATTTGATGTTATTAAACTCTGAAACCAGAACGAATAACTTTTTTTTATTTTATCTGAATGATCTGAATGTATTCTCGGCTACGGCTATGACTGCATGGCAACTGGCAAGGCTTACGTTACAGACTGTTGCTATGTGACTGAACATTACTACCAATCATTTTTATAGACCTGTAAGGCCGTCTAATTTGATCCAATGGCGGCATTCAAATTAGCGGTGAAGGTCTCACGCGTGCTCCGTCTCTTCCCATCATGGCAAACGGATTTTCAATTAAATGCAATACATTTTATCTTATGTATTAACTCGTTTCATCTGACTCCATAAAATGAAAAAGTTTTTCAATGATATCTGTGCATCATTAAATATACGTTAATGTTTGACTATTCCTTTTAACTCCAATGGAAATGAAGTCAAAGTCTATTAGTATAATCAAATATAACAATTTATTATGTCAGGTAAAAGTATTATGCCAATTTCATAATCAGTTCAAAGATCATCAATACAAAACATCAAATGCTTTAGGATGAGAGAAATAGATGCAAACCCAACATTTAAGAAATACATGAGCTAATCCTCACGGGCTATCTGAAATACAGAAAGAGCCACGATCTTCTAGCTGCATTCCATTAAATAGCCAGAACTTCTTTACAATGGTAATTTGTATTCAGGTTACACCTTATTTTGGGGGTAGGGGAGAAATACCATTTGCCTAGAGTCCACCTTCCTTTGTGTGTCATCTCTAAACTTCTAAAAAACCTTATTACCTTTTGTTTTACTCTTTTGGAATGAGACATCTGAACCACTCACTCTGGAACATTTAAAATGATACTAAACACAATAATCATTCACATGAAACCATATATATATTCTCATGTGAGTTTTAGCGGTTACTGGGTGAGAGAATGAAATGTAAATCAGGTGAGACTGCGTGAGGGGGAGGTCCAATGTTAATTTTCAGCAAGTTCCTTTGTCCTGACCACATGGTCTATTGAAACAGTTTCTCCAACCAGTTTTCTTCAGTCTTACAGCCCTTATGCACCAGAGAAACGAGGGCACCGCCATCTTTAGAATATTGTCTTTGAACTTCCGTTTTTTCGGTTGCTCTGTATGTTTCTATGGCATCGCAGTCCAGGAGTAATTAGCTGGTGAAGTTGATTTACTTATTGTAGAGTTAACGAAAGTTCATGAGCATTGTAATGTTTACTATAAGCATTGTAAAGCATGTCTTAACAAATGGACCGTAGGAATTTTTTTTTAACAAGCCGTTCATTCATAACTAGGCAATATCGCTGTGAAAATACAGACCGGAAGTCAAAAGACAATGAGCTCAGCGCGGAAAAGGGGCGCGGCTACATAAGGTCTAAAAAACTTAGAATTTTGCATACAGGACAAATAAGCTGCCCTGTGTCCAAACCCATAAGATTTGTCACATAAATGCAGTAACATGCAGTCCTGTCAGACAAGCTGTCCCACTTCGCCGTGATCTTCTGATTCCCTAATATTTCCAAATTTAATAATAGACTTCTTAGTTATGAAAATAATAAGCAGTAAACTGGCGAATTCCAATTGTCTCATTACTCTCAGCATTTTACAAATATTTGGGATCTGAAAGATACAATTACAAATTTTGCAATATTCTTTTAATGCATATTCACTTTGTCGATAACAAAAGGTAAAAGTGGATGGAAACTTGGCTATAGATGCACAACGCTGGAACAGAAGCATTGCTAAAGATCTGGGCGTCCATGAATCCACTTTCTGGGATGTTGACTACTCAATAGAGGCTTTCGCACCGGAGGAACCATTTTATAGTTCCTAGAACTATTGGAGGAAGTACGCAAATTTTGGTGTATTTGGACCACAGGAACTAGGAACAAATTTATCTCCTACTTCAGAGTCGGTCTAAACCAGCACTATAGGAACTACCAGTGACATTAGTGTTCGCTGATTGGCTGAACACACACAAAACACCAGCACCCGCCATTTTAAAAAAGCTGTGTAAACACACAGTTATTAGCCTATATATTTACTCCAGAGACTAACTCTACGAACATGGAAAACAGTGATAGATGGGCCTCTTAACCTTTACACTGAGAAGAAAATCCAACGTAACTTTGAGGGGACCAAGCCAAACATGGATTATGTATTTCTGCTCAGCAACACTGGACATCAACCACACAGCATACGCTTATAACTTTTCATTACTGTCTACTTTCAATGTATAACAGTGCTATCTAATAACATATTAGACAGGACTTTTAGACAGATCGTAACCTAATGAACACGGAGAATGCGAGCACTGTGTGTTCAGGCTGGCGTTCAGTGCCGTCAAAAATAAATGTCTGCCGCTCCATCAAAATAAAAGTCACAACAACAAGCGTGGCTTTCGAGACTTCAGAGTTCCTACTGGCGGTGCGAATGCAACCAGGAAAACGCTCCTATGGGAACCATTAGTTCTCGGGGAACCACCCTGGTGGCTAGTTCCTAGAACTACCCGGTGGGAAAGCCCCTTATGTATTCAATCCAGATATTTTCAAAGCGGCTCTCTAGGACCGAACTTGCCTACCCCTGCTCTATACAATCAAAATGTATTTTTACACAGATGGATATTTTTATGGCACCATTTTAAATTGCCAAGCCTTTTAAAACTCATTCCACATATATAAAAATAGTCTCACATCAGACGTTTCGAGTGTCATCGGTGTAATAAAAAATATTTTGCCATCACAATTAAATTGTCTGAAGTTGCTCCTTTTTCTGCATTGTCTTTTCAGAATGAGTTTGCAAATGACATTTCAGTTCTGCTCGATATGTGAAACTCTTCTCACACTGAAGACATGTGAAAGGCTTCTCTCCAGTGTGAGATCTTATGTGCGTCTTAAGGCTTTGTTTAACTGTGAAACTCTTTCCACACTGAGGGCAGATGAAAGGCTTCTCTCCTGTGTGAACTTTCACGTGAACATTAAGGTTTGATTTGTTTGAGCAAGTCTTCCCACAGTGATGACACATGAAAGGTTTCTCTCCAGTGTGAGTTACTACATGATTCTTAAGGTGCTCAGTGTCTGTGAAACTCATTCCACACTGATGACAAATTAAACAATTCCCTCTTGAATGAATCCTCCGGTGGGAATTAAGGGCGACTCTTTGTCTGAAACTTTTTCCACACTCATCACAATTGAAAGGCTTCTCTCCAGTGTGAGTTCTCATGTGGGATTTAATTGTTGCTATATGTGAAAAACTCTTTCCACAGTGAGGGCATGTGAAAGGCTTTTCTCCGGTGTGAATTCTCATGTGGATTTTAAGGCTTGCTTTTCTAATGAAAAATGTTCCACACTCTTGGCAGGTGAAAAGGTTCTCTCCAGTGTGAATTCTCATGTGGGCTTTAAGTCTGTATTTTTGAGTGAAACTTTTTCCACACTGTTGGCAGGGGAATGGTTCCTCTACAGTGTGAACTCTCTTATGCTTATTAAGGTTTCCTTTTTCAGCAAAACTTTTTCCACACTGTTGGCAGGAGAAAGGCTTCTCTCCAGTGTGAATTCTCATGTGGACTTTTAGGTTTACATGTTGATTGAAACTCTTTCCACATTCTTGGCAGGTGAAATTACTTCTAGCTCTCGACTTTTGTGAGGAAGTATTTTCAGTCTGTGAGCAACTAAAAGATTTTTCTCCAGTTATGAAATTATGATTTTTATACTGATGTGTCTCTTCCTTTTCATTCAGTTCTTGACTCTCTCCATTCAGGGCCATCAGGTCTAGGGTGAAAAAAGACAAATGAACCTGTTTAATAGCACAAAGCAACAGACATCAAAACATTTAGACATTTAAAGCATTAAAACCAACAAAGCAACCAAACCAACAATATGTATGCTAAATCATAAACCAACTAAGCTACCAGAAGAGGTGTTATCTGAAATCTCAGAACACACAGACCTCTGAATCTAATCAAATCGTATCATGTCATGTTTTGAGGTATCGATAAATCCTGAATCGCTGGCTATTAGAATCAATGTTGGATTGTATCGTATGATTTACACCTCTAAATTTAATATACCCCCCTCCCCCCCCCCCCCACCCCTTGGCGCCGGCCCTGTGTTTATGTCACAGTTAAAGCAGTTCCTGTGTCCTCTAAAATGTTTTTAAAAGTTTTTTTGTGCTTAATGTAATTTATTTAATATATATATGATGTAAGTTCTATATTGCATTGTAGATACCTTATATCGGTAATTTGAGTGAAAATAACAAATCCTTCGAATATAAATAAGAGTTTTAGTGCAAACAAGCAATTAGATTGCATTATAAATTATGTAACCAATATAATAATAACTAACACGGCATGCTTTCTAGATAGTCATGGAAGAATAAATTTGACGTAATCTTCTTTTGCAGAACCCTAAACCTAGTGCAACATTGGGAGACTTGGATTCTTGGGTCCGAAACAACATACTTGGCTGGCTGAATTCGTTTTGACTCAAAAGAGCATCTAAAAGAAGTCCCATTTACTTTTTTTTTTTTTTTTTTTTTTTTTTTAAGTTGATAAAGAATTGATAAACGAGATCTCTGATTGTAGTCCTTTTTAAGTAATTTACATAATTTAATTATACAGTATCTGTACGAAGCCTGGTCATACTACGCTTGCCTTCCAATGCTAAAGCCAAACATCGCAGTACTTGGTCATGGCACCAAGTAAACCGACCTTGGCTAAGAGCCACCTTACATCCTGTGAAAATGTGCCTTAATGTGGCAGGTGATGAACACAACGGACAAGAGGGATCCTCTCCTACCCAGCGGTTTAGGTTCTGCGGTGATGGGAGAACATCATATGTTGACCTAATAAGGAAACTGATCCTACTCTCTTCCATTGACCAGAGGTCTTGCCAGCCCATCTTACGTTGTTCCACACTCTCCCATCTCATCCACTCTCCCTGCTTGGCCTGGGAAATGGCCTTTATACACCTCATCCTCTCCTCCTGCTTTCGCACCTCGTTGACTACCAGCTTCCTCCTTTGAGCTGGGCCTGCCTGGTGCCATTTAGGAGGAGCTAAACTGAGCCCAAAACCCCCTCTTCCATACAGTACCTGTCCCACGATATCCCCAATTTGAAGGTCAGCCTTTGCCTCTACCACAGATTTATTTGCTGACCACTTCCTACCAGTTAACACAGGTGCTGCCTCCCTTACACATTTGTCGCGTGACTCTACTAAAGTCATTTCCAGTCTGACCTTGGCACACTTAAACTCCTCGGTTAAAGCAGAGACTGGCAGCTGCAATACTCCTTTACTATAAAGTCCCACTCTGCTGAGGCAGCGTGGAACTCCCAGCCAAAAAAATATTATCCTCTCACCTATGTAAATTTTTTCATAGAAACTGTATTTGTGAAAGATAACAGTCAGGATTTCAGCCTTGTTGTTTATTAAAGTTACAAACAAATAACCTAGATTTGGCATCTAATCATGGCTACATCTTTCTTTGATTACTTTTAGGTCTTTCTGTGACAGACATTCACTTGGATAGCCTGATATTTATGTTGAAATTTGTGGACAAGCATTAGCATGGTTTGTGGCCTATCTATCCGACTGCTACCACTGTTTGTGTGTAGATGAAGAGACATCTCATGAAACACAAGTATGGTGTGACACAGGGCTCAGTATTGGGTCCTCTGCTTTTCCCCTTGTACATGCCTCCCCTAAGAGTCATTATAATTAGATTTCACTACATTATCAATGATACTCAGATTTATATTTCCTCACAACCTGAAAAAAAAAAAACTACACTGCTCTCAGCTGAAGTCAGCAGAGTGTATTAAAGATATCAAACTTGGGATGACTAGTCATTTTCTTGACCTATACTAACTGTTAGGGATGCAACGATACCGCTTTTTCAAAACCGATCCGATCCGATCCCAAAATTCTGAGTATCGGCCGATACCGATACCAATCCGATACCAGTGCAGTTTTTTTTTTAAATCAAGTAGAATTTCTATAACTCTGTGTGTTGAACTGATAATCACTCTTTTGTGTGTTAAACACAATCTACTTAACACAGACAACTTAATTTTAAAGAAAAACAACAAATCCAAAAAATATATGATCATAATCTGTGACAAAAATGCTATAATAAACTAGATTAGTGGATAATTCAGCAGTGCAATTTAGTCTAGAAAAATCATGAGTGCACAATAATTGTATAAAATCTGAACATTTATTGAAGAAAATTTAGGGGAACAAATAAGAGACAATAAGTGTAACACTAAATCTGGTCAAACATTACACATTGCTCTTTGTATTGTTGTAAAATACATTCATGAAAAACAAGATAACAAAAATCAAAAAGATAAATTATTATATATAGGGCCTAGCCTATGGCTAGGCTACTATAAAATTGAGACATGTTTTAAATGTATAGCACAGCTGTTTAATGAGGCAGCAACATATGATAGATAGGACAGAACAAGAAAGGCTATTAATAATCTTTCATTGCGCAAAAGTAGTATTATATGATTATGAAAGGATCCAATACAGTGCGGCACACAGCGCTTATGCGCATCCCGAGCGCAGAATGATGCGCTTGAAGCAACACGGAGTCACAGCGCGCAACGTGTCGAATCCGCATTGAACAGTTCAAAGCACAAAGGAAAGACATATCGATGCGTAGTGTATTATACACAGTATCTATGCAATCGTTTATTGAGCCTTTTCTTTTAACAGTTTTAAATTTCAGTTACTGTGCGCGTGAAGAACAATTATAGTGCTCTCTGACTCTAGGCTACTCTGTTGCGATCTAACAGACGCCCGGTAGAAAGTAACATGATTTAGTTACAGCAATAAAGTCCAGCAATATAAAGTTGTTTTATGCTAAACCATAGACCTTTATCTACAGATCAAGAATAATAATAGTAACATTGAATCATCTTGATCTTGGAGAGTTTCATCGTGTTGCCTGTCGTAACAGAACGCGACGCGCTGTTAAATGCTGAATGGAGAATGACTGACAGCCGCAGCGGAGGGAAAAAGTTTAAGAGGTCTTGAATTTAATGACTTAAATATTAATTTTTATCTCACATTATACTATATAATGGCTTCAGAACACTTATAAGATAGTGCACGAAAACTTTATGGTACTTGATAATGTTTTTGTGCCTTTTGTGGGGCTTAACAATAACACAGAATAATACGCACAATATCGGATTTGGATCGGCCTCCTCTGACCGATACCCGATCCGGCAAAAATGGCAGTATCGGAGCCGATGCCGATACTGAGTATCGGATCGATGCATCCCTACTAACTGTAAGATACTTGAATAACAGGAGGAGACATCGTAACTTTTACTGAACTCAAAACAGCACAGATCAGACATCTGCACATGTTTTCGGACAATCGTCAACCGAACCACAGGCTCTACTCGTCAGCACAATGGTGACCCCAAAAACTCAGACATACCAGAAAACCTTTTAAATATTAACAGATCTCCCCCTATATTAATGTTGAGCAAAGCACATTAAATAATACTTAATTTTAACATTTGCCCTCCTTTAACAGTCAGAAGCAAAGCATGCTGGGAAGTAGAAATCTGTTATAACTCATTCCGTGAATGTGTGTGTGTATGTGTGTGTGTGTGTGAGGGAGAGAACTTGCATTCACCTTTATATGGGAACATGTGCAATATATGTACACAATAAAGGGTCAAACTTTGTGAATATTACATGTAATGCTATTTTTGTCATCATTTATAAACATTTTATATGTATTTATATATAGCCATACATAGTCAAAGCATATAATGCAGTGTATTGAAAAATATAAGCATTAGTTTACCATATGGAAACGTATTATGTAATATATCGCATTATATTTTGCAGTATATTTCTATATATTTTTGTTTCGTAAGGGTGTTGTATGTAAAAATTATTCTCACATAATACGAGCATGTTAAGGGGAAAAACAGATGCATGGTCCTTTTAAATGAAGCGGAAATCATGCAGCTTTGAGAATGAAACCAACCTGTTTGTTCCTCCGTATCTTCATGTTTCACATTGAATGTTTCTTCAATCTTCATATCTTCACTCTCCTCTTTAATAAACAACATTGTTTGTTCCTCAGTATCTTCTTGTTTCATTCTTAATGTTTCTTCAATCTTCATTTCTTCTCTCTCCTCTTTAAGAAATGCCATCTTTATTATAGTGTCACACGGATCTCGGTCGCTGTGTTGCTTTTTCTGTGTTTAGAGAATTTGTTAAGTTTAAGATGAGAATAATTAACAGGAAGAAACATACATAAATAAATAAAAATAAAAAATCAATCTCAATCCGCTCTAGTTCAGTGTTAAGAGAGTCAGTCAGAGTGAGAGTTAATGGACTTAAATTTCCTAATCAGCCAAAAACTTTCTAAACTAACACTACAAATTAATAAAACAACACAAATTATATAGACATTTCATATTTGTATATTTCATTTGTAGATCACTTAAAAGATTCCACTTTAAAGAAAACATTAGCAGTTGGCTCGTCAGTTGTCTTTACACATGTTTGTGATTGCATTTACACTGTTTTGAACAGCACGTGTCGTCAGTGTGAGGTGATTCGAATCACTGAATTAATTTGTTAATCATTGGTTCAGTTGAGTAGAAGAAAAGTTTCTCTAATTATACTTCCCATTGACCGAAATCGTGTTTACAATAAACTCGTTCACGATATTGGGAGCGAAATGAGACGCACATTTTCTTTAAAAGGATACTCCACTTTTTTTGGAAATAGGCTCATTTTACAACTCCTCCGGAGTTAAACTGTTGAGTTTTACCGTTTTTGAATCCATTCAGCCGATCTCCGGTTCTGGCGGTACCACTTTTAGCATAGCTTAGCATACATCATTGAAGTGGACAAGACCATTAGCATTTCTCAAAAAAAAAATGACCAAAGAGTTTCGATATTTTTCCTATTTAAAACTTGACTCTTCTGTAGTTACATCGTGCACTAAGACCGACGGAAAATGTAAAGTTGCGATTTTCTAGGCTGATATGGCTAGGAACTATACTATGAAGATATTTTTGGTGCAATACCACTGAACGCCTGTGACAGTGGAATTTGTAGTTGTAGAGAATAGCCACACATGTGTATCAGTAAATCTGAAGTCACAGAGAGAAATGTTTTAAGAGTTGCAAACTTGTAGACTTTTTTTTATCTTCCACAAACACAACACAACAGTTACACCTTCTCAAATTCTCCGTTGCAGGTGCACAAATCCTATTCTACAAATCACAAATTAAGAAACTCGTAAGCTCACATTTTTGCTACAGTTGCTGCAGTGAATATGGTGCAAAACGCATTTAAACACCCGCATCAAAAAATGTGAAGTCACAGAGAAGTTTTGCTCATCTGCACATCAGTATGTGAATTCATCCAATGAGAGTTGCACACTCGTAGAATATTTTCTCACAAATGTCTTGTATATTTTTCTAGCACAAACACAAGTACTACAGCTGCTTGAATCTGCTGCGACGAATCTCAAACACTATTTTTCGCTTTCAAGTGACAAGTTTCGTGCGCTCTCCCTTTTGCACCAAGTGCACCGTGAAATGTTGTGCATCTGTAGAGGGAGTGGGCGGAGCCTACATTAATATTCATGAGTTTCCCGCTCATGGAAACTGCTCATTCTAGTTCACGCTACTCGTTTCTCAGCAGGTTTAAAGGCCATATTGCAGGTTAGAGGACCCAACGAGTCAATGTATAGAAAAATTATGTAGGAACTAGATTTTCTTTAAAATATACTTATAAATACGCTACAGAAGCTTCTGGAGTCGTTTTTGTGAGAAAATTTTACTTCCACGTCTGAAAATGGGCGTGGCGGGCGTGACATAACGGGCGGGAGAGCGGTCGATTCAAACAACAGGAAAACAATGGATCGCAATGACATTTCGGATGCTGAGGAAGTACTTACTCGTATTACGGACCACAGCCATACAGTTATGAGCCTGTTATGAGCCTGCTATGCTGCCAAGAGAGCAGGGACAGGCCAGGACTAATGTCAGACAGAACGGTCAGAGACACCATGAGTTGTGGTGTGAGAACCAGTGGAGAACAGGACAGGTGTCTTTGTGAGAGACGTGCTTATAGATATACACGTTCGCTAACGATATACACTGTAGAGATGCGCGGATGGGCTGTTATTTCATCCGCAACCGCATCACAAAACTCATCATCCGTCCGCACCAACGTTTTTGACAAATTTTCTAAACCGCACCCGCCCGCCATCCGCTGATACAAGGCGCTGCTGATGACAGCCGCGAGACTAGAAAGCTCTCAGAATATCAGCAGTGAACTCGTCTCCGATCGGCGCGCAGGGACAAAAATAAATAAATAGCCTAAATTAAACGCACTTCGGCAAACCTGACGTTATCTGATAGGCTACTGTACAATATTTTCTAGGGCTGTGTATCACCAACAATGTCACGATACGATACGTATCACGATACTAAAGCCACGATACGATAAGTATCACGATATGGATCAATTTGGAATTTAAATTTCTTTTGAGCTGAGTTTAGTAACAGTAATATCTGCTTATTGAATAACCAGTGTTATAACAGTTGTGATAACTGAAAAACAAGGAGTTAAATGAATAAAAAAGCTTAGAATGGCTCTTCCTTCTGCTTTTAAAGTCTGCCTCAATAACTGAAATGACAATTATAGTGACACTGAAGCATGTCTACACTGCTCAATGACTAAACAAAACTTAAAACATTCCATAAAAGCAAAAACGGTAACAACTTAAATTTAACTTAAGTTTTCTCAAACTATTTTAAACACCTAGTATTTAACAGGTCTTAAGTGTTGGAATCTGCACCAAACAAAGTAATTTCTTCTACGTTGAAATCATTTTAAATGATTACATTTTCAAATTTTTACGCAGAAACAACCATTGATTGACATGCTCAGGGTTAAGAGAGTGACAGCAGAATATCTCGCTTAACTTCATCACAACCGCGAATTGCCGTTTCTGTTAAAAACCTTTATGCTCATTCAAGACATAACCAACTGTGTTTAGAGGATACTTACCAAGAACGAAATTTTTTACATCATTTTGCGTGTTTTAGTCTGTTAAAGCGATATAATCTCACGAGCTGTATGTGAGGCGGCTTTACTCTATGTATGCACGCGGAGAAAACCAACTCTCAGAGAGCGCGCAAGTACTGAATAGTTTAAAATCGTTTGAATGTTTAAACTGGTAAGACTTAAAGACATGCAAATGGTAAACTTTAGTCACGATGGCCCGATTATGCAAGTGAATATTCCGTCATGTCCCGACTCCTAACCGTGAGCGTGTAGTTTCACCGGCTGCAGCGCTGGACGCTTGCCCGAGACGAGAGAGAGAAGACGCAGCACTGCATTGAACTCACGCTGTTTGTGAAATTGCGTCTCACAGAAAGTTTTAAAATGACTGATTTGATTTTATAATCTGTGTGGATTCATTTACTAATACTACAACCTACATGCTAAAGTGAATCAATGTTTCCGGGAATTTCCCGCATTATAAACTGCGGGAATTATTCAAATTATGCGCATACCCGCGCCGAAATTCGAGCCCTGATTGGCTACATTCAAAAGCACAAAAATATCGATACGGCAGCTGCTGTATCGATACGCGTATCGCCAGGAGTTCATGACGATATATCGTTGTATCGATATTCTGAGCACAGCCCTAATATTTTCATTGTAGCCTAATAGAAAACGCATTTTGGCACATAATTTCAACATGCTGCTATTGTATGGGGCGCCAACAATGTTACGTGACAGTTCTCCATTAAGGACGCGAACACTCAGAAAGCGGCACTAAAAGACTTTCAAACTTTCACAGAGGCCTCAAAAAAGCACAAACCCTTTCTTTAAAGCGAATTTCGTTTTGTATTAATTGTATCTTCATTTTAATCCATGTTTCATTAACCATTTTCCTGGATTTAATAAATAGGCTAATAAGTAAATAGTCTGTCTTGATTGTGTAGGCTATGTTTCATTATAAAATATTAGGCTGTGTATACCGACATGGATCAATTATTAATATTAGATTTCATCTGTCTTATGTAGGCATAGCTGATGGCGCACCAACAAAAAAGCCTATAGTGACTTCGGCGTTTCTTTAATGGCTCTATAGTTTATTATATGATTGTTAGGCCTGTTGATGGTATAAAATGAATTGCACTGTGCCTGAAAAAGACGGGCTCTCCGCTCTCTTCCCGTGCATTCAAAATTAACGGGAGTCTTCAGAACAGGCTCGTCCAGCGTCAACAGCACCGAACTTAGCTCCAATGTCAATCAACGTCTTGGCCACTTGGTGGAATCCTTTACCAGAAGCAATATCGAACGGGCGCATATCAAGAGAGCGCACAACTCATTCCAGGCAAAGCTTTTCTGACCTTCTATTTCCTGTTGTTTTTAATTCTCCTTTTTTGAGTTTGTCACGTACCTCCTTCGCCGGCGTCGCCATCTCTGATAACAACAAGCAGTCTCTGCATAGACTCGAGCTGATGAAAATTTGACTATTTCAAAGTGTGCTCGATTTTTTTTTTTTTGGATGTAGGTATATAGTCAGATAACAATATTTAACAATGTATATTTTTCATTTGATTGGTTCAACCGCCCGCCCGAATTTAATTAAAAAAAAAAAATTCGTCCCGTCATCCGCCCGATCCGCGGTTTATCCGCGGCTGTAACCGCCAACCGCGCATCTCTAATACACTGTGCTCACAATATTGTACAGATTATTACCATTGTATATCAGGCCAGCAGACATTAGTATGTTTAGGGTAGATTTATACTATTAAATGTATAAAAACTATACTTGAGTATATTTCTATTGTACTAAAAAAATACCCAAGTACATTTTTAATACATATTTTTCACCTGGGTTATAACATAAACAGAAAATTAAAGATTTGAATATTTAAACAACCTGAGTAATTTTGTTTTTCAATTTCAAGTTGCCTCTATTTAGGGCATGACTACCTATATCACACTATTTCATGCCAATGGTACAGTATTAGACGATCAATATTTTTGCTTTGGCATCCCATGTTGAACTCCATCATATCGCCGGGATGATAATCCTCCGATCTGAAGTGAACGCTACACACGACCGAGAAATCCCGTCTCTTCACCTGCACAAACCGCACCAGGCACGAAAGATATACAACACCGTCCCTTTTCTTGTTATGGAAACCTGTG